AAAAATCAAAACCAACAATCATAATCATACTAATTAAACGGAGTCTTAGTGTTCAAATTTTTACAATTGCATTATTGAAGTATTAATTAATTGCTCATTTTAAAATTGAAAAATGAACTTACAATCCATGGTAGTTTTGGTTTGGGGGAAGCAAAAGGGAGGGAAATGGAATGTTGTTCTCAAATGGAGGGCTAGAATTATTCGGCTAGAACTGGCAAAGATACAACCTCCTACCCTTGATCAATCGGAGGTACGATGTTATATCATTTTATTTTTCTCCCTCTCCTCCCTTCATCTCCTCCCTTCATTTATTAAAAAAAATTAAAGTAAAAAACTTTCTCTCCTTTAATTCTTTCTATAACTAAATAGGGCAATTTTTTCCTCACTCTTCCAACTCAAACGATACGTATATATAAAGTATAATTAAAGTTATAGGCTTTTTTTTATCAACTAATAATTAGTTTAGATGAAAAACAAAAAACATGTATAAGAACAAGGTATAACAACAAAATATAATTAAACTTGATTAAACTGTATAAAGTGCAGAGATAAGTCAAGATCTAAAGAAAATTAAATGTCAAAGAATCATCACCATTCACTGGTCAATATACTTAGAAAAATCTATCCAGAAAAGAAACGGATGATGGACTTAACATGGAAATTCGAAAAAAATAAATAAAGGAAGGGAATGAGAAGCTATGTACCAGAGTTTTGAATGAAGAAAAGCGATCGAGGCAAGGAAGAGGTTGAAGGTGACAAATTAAAGCAGCAAAGTGAGATTGAGGAGTGGCGACGTCAACGATTCTAAGGCAGAGTGAGAGGAGCAGCACTAGGACAGAGTTCAGATAGAGATGAAGATCGGCTGATGTTCTTATTAGCTGCTGCTTTACCCAATGAAAGAAACCGCGTCCGCTGTCTTTTATCTTGGCTTTTAATAGAATAATATATTAGGACAGAGTTCAGATACACCTACTCCGCTTGTTTTAACTCCCAACTTCATTGTTTAAGAGGCTGTTCGGTGCAGTCGGCAGGAGTTCTCAACGAAATTTTTATTAAAAATTCCCATTATACTAAATGGACATTAAATTAATATAAGTGATATTAATAATAAAATTAATATTAATTTACTTATTAATTTATTCATTTCAGGCTGAGGAAGTAAGTTCACAAATATAATAATGCATTGAAGATGGGTCACCCCTGTCGGCGGGAGATGAGGATACCATGAAAATCAAATATTTTTTTAATATATTAAAAATTAATTATTTAACATTATAAAGGTACAAATTTTATATTTAACTAGTAACCTGCATCCCGCAACATGGTTTGTTGAGAAATTTAAGTCAATTAGTAAATTTTTAAAAAATAAAGCACTCAAAAATGGTGCATAATTTTTCTCTTCCAATAGGGTATTTGTCTCACATTATTTTTATAAACATAAATGAAATGATATATATAAAATTTTACGTAATTTTAGATTAACCAATTTTAATTAATCAATTTTAAATTGTAATATATTTTATTCCTATAC